AAGAAGAAGAAGAATGTTTTCCATCTTTTGCTCTTTCGCGTTCGGTGGTGCTCTCTCGGTTCTTTGCCTAGGCAAAGAAAGAAACGACAAGAACGATAAAAGAAAAAAAACGAAGGAAAATGGAGACATCTCAGCGCGCGCGTACGGGAAGGAGCACAGTAGGCCATAGTAGAGATGTTGTTTTTTACGCATCTGTTATTGTTGTTGTTATTCTTGTTCGCCTTTCGCGTGATGCAGGCCGTCGATGCTGCTTCTTCTTTGCTGTTCGTGTAGCATGCTCGAAGCATGAATGATGTTCAATGCACTCGTGCACACACATATACGCTCGTTCTTCTTCTTCTTCTCCTTCTCTTTTCCTCTTTCTCTTTACTTTTCAGTTTGAACAGTTGTTCTATGTGGTTGGCAAACGAGCACGATGAATGGAAGGAGAGAGAGAGAGTGAAGGACCGCGTACGATCGGACGGCAGATTGAATGTAGGAAAGAGAAGGAGAGAGAGAGCTAACCCGTTATTTGTTCTTTTTTGACATTCTTCTTCTCCTCCCATGATGTACGTACGTGAACGAGATGTAGTGAACGTGTCGCATGCGAACGCACTTTTGCTTGTTTGGCGTCAACAAAGACGAGAGAAAAAAAAATCTTGTCTTTTGTGTTAAACTTCAATGTTTATTTCAGATCGAATAATAACAAATGCATAGGACCAATACGAATGAAAAACAATATCAAAAAAGCCAAATCGGCTGCAATGGTCACAGTTCCTACTTCACAACAACAACAACAACAAACATCTACTAACCACGATTGGCAAATACCACCTGACGATAATAGTGGTATGCGTTAACGTCTGAAAATTTTCGATATTTATATTTATTGATATGTATACGATTTAGTATTTTAGTAAATAATGAAATGGAGAGTGGAACATTACCACCAGCAACAATGTTATTACATTCTAATGATTCAATTCATCCAATACCACCATCTGATTCTCCAATGAATCAATTTTCTGATATATTTTCTTCAAGACAATCAGTACAACTAAATAATAAAACAAATAAACGAAAACTCGATGATTTTGTTGATCCATCATTAACTGATTTTGACTCATCATCTTCTATAAAACCACAAAAAACTGAACAAAATGAAACAGAACGATCACTTAGCAGAACAGGAACTCGTAAGAAAATCTTTTCAATGAAACAAATCAGTTCACTTCACATTCGCTTTTTATATAGCTTTGTCAAATGGTCCTCTACCACCACCACCACCTTCTTCAACGCCGTCTCGGAATGGCAATGATAACGGTCCATCATCATTTGATTTTGGTCCACCAAGTAATAATAATAATAATAATAATAACAATAATAATACCGGTAGAAATACACCAAATTCATCATTATTTGCACGGCAAACACCACCACCACCCTCTTTACAACAGCAACAACAACAACAACAACAATCTTTATCTCAACTACCACCACCATCATCATATATGCCAATGTCACCTCGAAATCAATTTTCAGTTACCAGTGATACTCCATATTTACAAACAAATAATCAAGTGTTTGTATTTACAACACAATTGGCTAATGAAGCAGCTGAATCTGTATTAAAAAATGAACATCCAAATATTATTGAATACCATAAATCATTACCATCTACTTCTCAATATTTAAATGTTAGTAAATTTTGTTTTTTACTGAAAGAAATTATTTTTTTTATCATAATGAATTTTCTTTTTAGTCTCTTTCCAATAATATGAATAACAGTCATAATTCATTACTCGGTGGTCCCATGCATATGAATCATGGTCCTCCACCTCCACCCGGATGTCATTCACCTCGAACTATGCAAATGATGATGGGTGGACCAGGACCTCATAATCCACATTTACAACATCATAATAATATCGGTGGACCACCACCTAATTGGCCACATCCACATTTTCATCCACATCAACAACAACCACCATTTGGTCGTTTAACGCCCGGACCTGGTGGTTTACCTCCACCAAGTCATCTATTACCACCAGGTGGAATGATGATGAATGGTCAACCACCATCAGATGGTATTGAAAATTTAACACCTGAACGAGCAAAACATCGAAAAAATCAATTAAATAAAATAGAAGATTTAAAAACAAAAATTACTGGCGGACGAAATCGTGGTGGTAGATCTAAGGCAAATGCTGCTGCAGCAGCAGCGGCAGCTTCTGGTAATATGCCGTCATCGATGAACGGTGGACCACTACCACCAAATTCACTTGATCCACATCAACAGCAAATGATGATGATGAACAGTCCACATGGTGTCGGTCCACCTCATCATATGATGGGAATTGGACCACCACAACAACCACCGCCACATATGTTACCTCCAGGTATGCGGGGACCTGATGGAATGATGCTTGATATGAATGGTCTACCACCGCCACCACATGGTTATATGAATGGGCCAATGCCACCAAATTTTCATGGACAATATGGTCCAGGACCAGGTGATCCATATGGACAATTACCTCCACCACTTCAACAAGCACAAGCAACACGAGATTGGAATAAAATGCAAATGGAACATATTGAAGGTAAAGTACAACATATGCGTGGACAACCACCACCTTATTCTTCACAATCACCATCATCATTAACACCTCCAATTGCTACGACGTCAACGGGTGGTGCGATAGGACCAAATGGAAAATTACTTTCACCAAAAATGGAACCATCCACTACACCACGTCTATATAAGGTTGGTCAACCAGAAAAATTCATGCCTGATTCATTACCATCATCGGCGAATAAAAAACTACCTGGTAATCCAGGTGAAGTACAACTAACATCATCACCAACGCAAATGGATTATAATGAATTTGGTAAATAAATTCTATTAGTTTACTTTTTCATTTTTATTATTTCTCTTTAATTCTATGTACTATAGGTATGGAAGGTGAAGAATTGATTATTTCAAGGCATCTGAATCGAGCCTACAGACCAACGAATGGAGTTAGTGGTGGTTTACCACTACCATCATCATCTTCATCGTTAAAAGATGAACCTATGACACCATTAGCACGATCAACTTCTACACCAAATAATAATCTAAATCCATTATCATGTGGACAACAACCAGCTGGTTCAACTACACCTACTCATATTTCACAAGGATCATCATCACATCTTACACCACAAAGTGTATCAGCTGTATCACCACGTCCTGCTAAATTAACTGGAAACAGTAGTTTATCATCACCATTAATGCTTTCAAATAATAATTCATCAGGTAAAGATGAACCATTAGATATGAACGGTGGTCCAAAAACACCAACATCAAATATGGCACCACCATTAAGTAGTATGTTACAAATGACAAATAGTTTACAATCAGCTAATTCTCCATATAATTCATCGAATAATACGGGATCAAAACCACCATCTTTATCTTCAAATCTTAGTGGTAATGGACCACTATTGACTAGTCCAAATCTAGGGCATATGGGTAAATCAATGGATCAATTTCCTCCACCATCTCATATGTCTTTACCGCCACATCAACAGCAACATATGCAATTTCAAGTATGACTATTTAGAGAGAAAAAAAATAAAATAAAAATAATAATATATATATTTTTTTCTAATTCAGAATATGAATCCACATCATCGAATGATGGGTCTACCGGAATCGATGCCACCACACTATAATCCACATCATGGCGGTAATTTACCACCTCCACATCCTCATATGTATAAAATGATGCCTCCACATCATTCATTCGATCCATCTGGAATGATGCTTTCACATCCTGGTGGTCCACCACGTTCTTCAAAAGGTTTACCACCGCCACAACTTTCAAATGATCCAATGCAACAACATCTTCATCATTTACCACCACCACACTATGTTAAAATGCACAATATGGATCCATCATTAGGTCCGCCACCACCCGGTCATCCTCAACAACATATGCGTTTTGGACCTATGATGGACGATGGTTTTGGTATGGGACCACCACCACCATCACATCATCCGCATCATCCACATATGCATCCACATATGCATCCTCATTCACAAATGCATCATCAACAAATGCATCCAAATGATGGTCGACCACCACCACCGCCACAAGCCATTAATAATACATATGTTTCAACGACTATGTCAATACAACAATTAAATATTCAAAGTTTAGGTGCTGGTGGACCACCATCTGAACTTCAGACAGGTACTATTCATTATCATGCACCATCAGGTAATGGTCCTGATTCTCAACAACAAGGACCACCTGGACCTAATGGTAATAATTCAATGTTTTCTTCTCAACAACAACCACAACAATTTGCAACAATGAATAATATGTCGATAAATGATCCATCATTTGCACCACAGTTTAATGATCTTCAACCACCACCATCTAATCTTAGTGTAGATGGCGGACAACCACCTCCTTATTGGTGATCTCAATCAAAGAAAAAGAAATTCAAAATAATTGTATCTCACGTTATTTGTGAGACTTCTTTCATTACTATTTATCTCCTATTTTCTAATCTTAACCTGTACAGACAAAGAATCTCTTTTTTCCTTTTGTTTGTTTGTCTACGGGCATCTTTTTTTTTTGACTAATTGTATTTTTTTTCTTTCTTCTGTTGTTGTTATTGATGTTGTTCTCTATTTTTTTTCTCTCTCTCTCTCTTTCGTATGTTACCATTCACACACGCACACACACAATGTCGTGCTTATTTGTTGACTATATTATTGTCGTCATCATCAGCGTGTGTTACCATTAACACAACTACCGTCTACTATCTCTCTTTTTTTCTTTTTCTTTGTTCTCTCAATTCGTTTTTTTTCTTTTTTTTTCCTGTGTGTGACATGAGAAATTAAAATCAAAAAATAGAGTTTATAAAATAATGAGATGACAAAAAACAAAATCGAAAATGTCTATAATGTCATTTTTAGATTCTCATATTCATAGATTTCAAAAGACAAAAAGAAATAAAAATAATTAATGGCAGCTAATACACAAGGTATGGATGAACATGGCAATACCAAATTACCAGCTCAAGCAGCTGCTGAAGGTACACTTGCACCTGGAAAGGAGGCAGTTGTTGAACATATGTTAGCAAAAAATCCACCCTCAACTAGCAATTTGAATGGTATGAATTCACATGGTGATACAGTCGTTCCAGAAAAAGCAGCTGAGGCAAATCTTGATCGTCATGTACATGGTTTACATCCAACATCATCAGCTGAATAGGGTTCAAACTAAGAAAAACAAGAAACTTATTATTAAAAAATAATCCAGCAGCTATTTTCTTTTCTTTCTTTGTAACATTCAATTTGTCTATTTTTACTCCAGATGCAAAAGACAAAATCAGATGCTAATGAATATTGCCTTTTTTTTTCTTAATTTTTTGCTTTTATTATTGCTAATCACATACAAACGTTATATTCTGCTGCAAAACTTTTCGAATTCAAAAATTCTTCTCAATCTGTATAGAAATGAAATAGCTATATATAAAAATATGTATTCTCGAGGGGTTGGTTATTATTCTAATACTACTAACAAATTTCTTGAAAAGCTTAAATTGATTTAGATTTGCATAGTTTTAATACAAATAAAATAAAAACTTAGTTAGAAAAAGCTTCAATTTCAAATAAATCGATTATATTATATCTTATAATTTCAGAATCTGTTTTGATGACCTTGTCACACGAGACAAGGATGACTACTGAAACTGAATTAATATTTTCTCCGGAACGAACATCAAATAATTCATTTCATATATTTTCTAGTAAAAAAGTAAATTTATTTTATTATGATTTCAAATGATTTATATATAAATATTTATATATTAGACAAGTCGTCGTGGAGCAGCACTACATCAACCACCAAAACCTGTCTCATGTCGTGTTTTTCGATATTTTACTCCAGCTGCTGCTATTAAACCATCAAATGCTGTTTCAGTTAGTACAGATTCTTATGGTGTTGGTATGTTTCTTCTATTAATTTATACATTCTTTTTATTTTCTCCTTGAATATATTTAGTATTAGAAAGTCCATTTTATACTAAATCAAATACATCAACATATTGGGATCAATGTTTCGAACATGTTGAATGTATTGGTCGTGGATCATTTGCTGAAGTTAGTGAAATAGTTTTTTGTTGCTTAAATATATTTAATATTTTTATTTCTTATAAGGTTTATAAAGTTCGTAATAAAGATGATAATCAATTATATGCTATTAAACGTTCATTAACTAAATTTCGTGGTAAATCTGATCGGTAAAAATTATTTTTTCTTCTCGTTTTGTAATTCATAAATAAACGTTGAATTTAGTGATCAGAAATTAAAAGAAGTTCGTTTTCATGAAGCACTTGCTACACATAGTAATATTTTAAAAATAATTCGTGCATGGGAAGAACGTGAACGTTTATATATACAAACAGAACTATGTGAAAGCAAGTAAGTAAAAATAAAAAATTTATATAAATATTTTAATTATTTTATTTTTAAAGTTTATTGGAATATGCCAGAGAACATTCAATGAATCAGTCAATGATTTGGCATTTGCTTTATCAAATTAGTCAAGTAAGAAGTTTATTTACATAGAAATTCTTTTTTATATTTTTATTTTTAAGGCTCTTGATTTTCTTCATTCGTTATATTATGTTCATATGGATGTAAATAAACAAAATATATATTCGAGAAGAAATAAATTCATATACATATTAATTTCTATTAAAGGTTAAACCAGAAAATATCTTAATTACAAGTGATGGTAGTCTTAAACTTTGTGATTTTGGTATTGTACATGATTTACGAAGTGTAAGAGAAATATTTATTAAATAAAAAATTTATAATTTAGATTATTTTAGGCATCAACTTTAGCTCAAGATGGTGATGCACGTTATCTTGCATTCGAAGTACTTTCAGGTACGATATCAACAGCAGCTGATGTATTTAGTTTGGGCATGGCAGCACTTGAATTAGTCAGTGATTATGATATGCCTGTAACGGGTGATCTTTGGACTGATATAAGAGCTTTAAATTTACCAGTAGAAATTGTTTCAGGTATATAAATAAATAAATAAATAATATGAGAAATTTATTTGATATATGTATATATAGTTTTAACTGATATTCATTTAAAACAACTTTTATATCGAATGATTCATGCTGATTATAAAATACGACCATCTGCAAAAGAAGTTCTTGATAGTCCAACTATCCGTAATCAGGTCAGTAGAAAAAAACAATAAATTATATAAATCTGTTGTTTTACTTTCTATAGATTTGTTATATGCCATCACCATTTGCATTTAATCAACATCGACATGAACATGTAGAATTTGAAATAGATGTGAAAAAGTAATCTTTTGTTTTTTGAATAGATTGTTTCATCAATCGGTGGAAATGATTCACCTGCTAGTCATGGTTGTCGAACACCAATAAAAAAACCAAAACGACCACCAAATTATGGTGGCTACCATGACGAACATTCAGATGGTTTCAATACGAAATTATATTTTTTTTCTTGTAAAATAATTCTTTCTATTCTAGATGAATTTCGACTTCATTCTATTCATGATAAATCACAATTGTACGTATAGAGATGATATTCATGTCATATATCTTTCATTTATTTTGATTTTATATTTTTAGAACTCCACCACCAGCAGTTGTTGGTGATCCACTTCGAGTTCGTCTTTTTCCTGGTGAATCAGACGAAGAAATCAATGATGATCATATTTATTTGTAAGTTCTTATTTTCTATTTAAATAACAAAATATTCTATTTCTCTCTTCAGTCGAAAATCTCCAGTTCAATTTAAATTTGACAGTAGTGGAACTGAAGATTAAATTAAAATGAACAATTCTTCCGGTATACATTTTCTTTTCTATCTATAGTAATAACATATGTCAGATTATAACTAACAGTCAAATCTTTCTTTTCTTATTTTTTTGTTCCTTGTATTATTATTATTATTGTTATTATTCCATTGAAGAAAACAAAAGTACCAACAGCAAGAGAAATGTCAGATATATATGTTTTGATTATCTCCTGTCACAAAATATATATCAACCGATAATCTTTTCTTTTCTAAGTGCATGTTTATCTGCTTTTATTTATTCTTATACATAAAGTGTTGTGTACAGGTTGAACAAAAAACATAGTAGATCTCTTTCTTTTTCTCTCTTGTTCTCTATTTATTATTATTTTTTTTTGCTCTTCATATTAAAATTTGTATGTGTATGTTTAATTTGTGCATCTTCAATCTTGAAAGTGTGTTTGTGTAAAAATTATTCTTGATATATATATGTAAGCAACACACTAAATCTGAAAAAATGATAAAATAGATATTTATTTGTAGATGTTAAATGAGACAATTAATAAAATCATTTAGTTGGTATTTATATGGAGGTGTATCATGTTATTGTATGCAACGATTTTTTGTTGATTTTATTTATATAAAAAATAATGAAAATGATTTGTTTCAATCAGGTGATATTATTGTTTTGGATATTTGGAATCGATTAGAATTAAACAGGTATTATTTGATTGGAGAAAAATATTAGATGCACAGGAATATGGATTAAAGTTATAGAACTATTCAATATCATTTGTAGTTTCGTAAATAAAACTAGACTTCTATTGAAATGAACATCTTACATATAAATGTATGCAAAAATATATTTAGAAAACTTTTGAAGCATTATGCCAATAGAAAAAAAAAGTTATCCCTCTAAACATCTGTTTATAATTTTGATGAAAAACTATATGTGACTTTTTCTCGATAACGATTAATATTTTTTAATTGTTAAAATTGTATGAGGATCTATTACTACATTGTATTTATTTTCTTTAGTATAGAAATAACTTAATCTGTGCTAAATCACCTGATAATCATCAACAGACAATTTTTGGTCGTGTTATAGCATTTCCTGATGATAGAATTAACATTCAACCAAGAAATACCAGAATCAAATTAGTTAAAGTAAATCTCTTTTAATCTCCTATTATTTCTTCTAAAATGTTTCATATAGATTCCTAAAGGAAGTATTGGTATTAGTCTATTAACCAATGATAATCATGAAGAAATTAAGATTTTACCAATGGGTTTAATTGAAGGACGAACATTAGCACGAGTAAATATATATATATATAAATTTGTACTTTAACTTGATATATTTATTTTAGATTTGGCCATTAAAACGTTCTACTAGTCATCTTCTTAATATGCCATCAACATCAGATATTTGAATAGAGAGGAAAAAAGATTCGAATTTTCTATCTGAACAATTTTCTGCCATTTTTCTTTTTCGTTGGGAAATAAAACACAAAAAAACAAAAATACAATAAAGATAATAAGCTCCTAAAAAACAACTTGAGCTGAACAAAATACATCGATTATATATATAAGAATGGTAAAATATATACAAAAGTAAGTAAATGTCGTTTGTTTTTTTTCCGGTATACACCGGGTTCGATAGAGGAAGTATAACAATAATAATAACTTTGCATATTAGTTTAATCATTCATATTCTTCTGGTATGACTGGTTTTCGTTCTTTATTAACACGACTACCAAGACAATCTTGAAAAAATCGACGTTGAAAATGAAAATAATCACTATGCAACCTTCGATCTTTTTCAAAATCATGATTTGCATCCGGATAAACCTATTTTATTTTCACAAAATAAAATATTTCATATTTCTATTTTTAATAAAATTTATTTACTTTAAATTGAAAATTAACATTAGCTGCAATAAATGATTTAGCTAATGCTGCTGAATGTTTAAAATGAACATCCTCTGAAAAAGATGAAATTATTTGTTTTATTTTTCTCTACTTTAAATATATTTTACCATCGGCTGTTCCATGTACGACAGCTATACTTTTATTTTGAATATCTAATCGACGCGACTAAAAAAATAAGTAAACATGTATAATTAAAAAGAACGATTTGTTTAGTTTTACTGATTTAACATGGGTTTCTAATCCATTGATACGTTCAGTATAAATAGCATCTAGAAAAGTAGATTAAATTATAATTGAAATACACATGAATTTTCTTGTATCTTACGATAATGAGATAAATCATTGACAGGAGATTCAAGAAATGCACAATTATATTCAAATTTATCTTTATGAGGTTCTTCAAGTAATTTTAATGCAATAACAGCAGCAGGACCCTATAAATTCAAAAAGAAAAGACATATATATAGAAAAGGATTTGTTAACCAGAATCGGAATCATAATTTTTGTCTCGGATGATTTCAAATCAAGATCAATTAAATAATTATTTTTATAAGAAAACAAAATATTTCATAAATCAACTAATCCTATTCAATCGATCTTAATTGTTTTTATAATCAATCAATGTTAAATAAAAAGTTTTTTTTTCCTGATGAACTAATTTCTACAGATAACTATTACATATTAATAGAAAATCTAGACCCGAAGGATTTTCGGATGAATACTATTCTTTGAATCGATTATTTATGATATATTAAACAAGTCATTTATCGAAAAAAATCTTTAAATCTTACTCGTGCTTTCAGGCCAAATTGGGTACTATTTAATATTTCTTTAAATTTCTTTTCATGATATTTCAAATGTCTAAATAAATAAATAAATAAATAAATACGAGCAATATTCTGTTATGATTCTTACTGGGCAACTTTAATATAATCTAGATATTGTCTTCGAAACCAATCAGGAATATTATTTTTTAAAAGATTTTCATCGTCTCCAGTGCTACCATGTGCATCAAATAATACAATACTTATATTATCGTATGTTACATGAGCAAATCTAAATTAAGCAAGAATGTTTTCTTCTAATCTTTATTCGTTATACAACATACTCAAACAATGGTAGAGCATATTTTTTAGTCACTCTTTGATCGTATAATCGATCATTTCTATGATAAAAAAAAATATTAATTTTTATTAATTAATTATATGATAACTTACATTGAAACAACAACAGGATATGATGCAATTGTAACATTAGGATTGTATGTTGGAGGAAATATAATCATTCCATGACCGACTATTTATTATTACAAAATAAAATTTCATAGAATTATATTTCGATTTTTTACCTGTATTTTTATCATCTAGTGGTACTGAAAAATAATCAACATGAGGCATTAAACGATGACTTATCCATGTACGAAATGGACTATTTTCATTAATTAATTCTAATAGAAAAAAATAGTTCATTTTAATTTATCAATCTAATTAGAATAATTATTTACCAAGTCTTCCCGTTCGATTATATAATGTTGAAAAAGGAATTGATGGTCCATAACATTCAAGTATATAATAACTACCTTTGCCATGACTAAATTGTGCATTTGCATAACCACATGATTCATTTCCATCATGACATGAAATACATTCTGCATCCAGTTTAGTATTCATATAATTCCATCTATTTAATTAAAACAAAACAATACTAAAAATATGATATTTTTGACTTCTTTTTACCGGTAAACTTGTCGCTCTAAAGAATGATTTTGAGGTGAACCAGTGAAATAGACATAGTTAAATTTATCTACATGAATTATTTCATCAGCAGATATATTTAATGGTGATGTTGCATCAATTTGTGGTTGCTGAAAACAAAAATATATATATTTAGATTTTATGTTTAATTTAAACATACTGTTTGATTAAAATGTATTCGAACAACATGTGGATAAGCTTTTTGTGTTGATTTATTAATATTTAACGGATCAAATCGTATAATAAAACCATATGCACCCGATGGTGAAAAAGTTGGTTTGAGAAAACGTGGTAATAATGTACCTTTTCGTGTTTCTTCAACATAACGTGATTTATATATGATTTTATCATTATCATTATTTATTGTTTGTATTTCATATAATTGTATTATACTAGAATCTTGTCTACGAGTACTATAGACAATTGATAAACATGTATCACAAGACCAAACAACATGGTAGATGTATAAATCAGATTTTCTAAAAATATGAAGAAGAAAAGAAAAGTGATGTTTTTTTGTTTGATATATTATATTACAATTTTTCGTATTCAATCGGACGTGGTACACGAATAGTTTTTCCTGATTTAATACTGTAGATGTATACATCAAGTAATGGAAGCGTATCACCAAATTTTGGATATGGGATTGAATATTGATCATTACTATTATGTGAAAAATCGTATCGAAGAAAATGATTTTTTGAAACATTTTCTAAATTTATTTTAATAAACGCCAAATAACGATCATTGGGAGACCAAAATAGAAGAACATTTCGATTGAAAATTTCATCTAAGAATATAAAGAAATTTTCTTTTTTGCAATCATAAAATATCTTTTCTATACACTCTTATGTTCTCGGAAAATCTCCGTCTTATACAAAAAATAAGTGTATATCTTGTTTTGAGTGTTTCTTTCTTTTATAGAAAAAAAAATCAGAATGATTATTTCGATCAATTAAATTAATATAGTAGACATAAAATACCTATCAACCTTCACTCCGATCAAGCACTATGAGCAATCATTAGCTGCTAAATGAAGCTTATAGTATATATCATTAAATATCATAGATTTTTCAAATAAAAAACTATATTCAGATGATTAAACATCTTTTCACTTCAGGACTTTTTTTTTGCTAAAAGATACTAATGATCGATAGAGCCTTCTATATAGAAAAAAATCTGTTATTTTCATCAGATAAAAACTTACATTCATAAATCCATTCTACTAGACCATTATGAACTGTATCCCGATTTCCATCTGATGTTGCTTTACTACTTGTTGTCTTTGCAATATCATATACATAAACATTAAAACTATGAATAAAAGCCTAAAGATAAATAAATAAATAAATTTATTTATAAATATTTTTTTTTAAAAATCTTACAAAAAAATTATCCGAATTTGAATATAAAACAGCTGATAATGGTGCTGCTTGACCATCAGGAAGTGCGATTGATACAATTTTTTTCGATTTTTCATATAAATCATATTGATAATCAGTATAATATTGATGACTCTAATTAAGAAAAAAAAAATTCTATATATAATATAAAATTGTATCCGTACTTTTTCTTTAAATACTGGTGCAAGAATATAACGACTTGATGGTGAAACAATTCCATGTCCAATATTTCCTTGTTGAATAATATTTCTATCAAATAATAATTCTCCTTGTAATTTATCACAGTTATAAATCCATATTGAATCTTTTGTATCCATATAAGAAAAATATGTATCCGATATCCATGTACCATTCCATCTATATTTATATATATTAATTAACAACACAAAAATTTAACAAAACTTACGGTTTAGGTACTTTAATTTTGAATATATCGTCTTCATTGAGTGCGATAAGATCATTAGACGATGTTGTTTTATCTATATATAAATTATCTATTTATATCATATCAAGAAATAAACACTTACCCCCAGTTGTTAGATAAATTGCACAAAGAATAAATAAACATATAACAGCAATGACAACAAACGCAATACTTAAACCTTTCCAATTTTGTTTTTTACTCGTACCACCAACTAATTCCTATAAAAGAAAATGATTACTTTATTATCAAACTCATTTAACGAATTATTATTTGAGAATTAAATTTTAAATAGCTCACCACACAAAAAGAACAACATTGAACTACATTCGTATCATTTTCTCCTAACTCTCGCTGATGCTGTTGTTGTGTTGCAAACATTAGAAAGGATTTTTTTGTATTGAAAGAAAATTAACAGAAATAATCATAATACAAAGAAGAAATAAAAGAAGCAGAAAACCGAGATAAAAAAAAAAGAAAAAAAAAGAATCGATTGGAACTAAAAATGAATATGCAAAACTATCGACGGAAGTTATTGAATAATAGAGACAAAAAAATGGAAAAAATGACGTTCATTAGACTGTCTTTCAAAAATAGATAGAACTAAAAAAAGAAAAACCAGAAAAGCCTTATGGAAATTAGCCAAGATATGTTTCTTATCATTTAATCCGATAAAGAAACGATATATTTTCTTTTGATTAGATATACTTTTTTTGTTTTGTTTATGATATCATTTATTACTAAATGACAATTTAAAGATGATAATAATAAAGTGCTAAATGATATTAGAGATAATCAAGTTCCGTTTTTCTTCTTCGTCTTCTATTATATATTTACTAATATTTTACTGAATATAGAGTATTTTTCATCAGACATTTTGTTTAACTATAAGGAATATTAGTGTTTATTACACAGCATGCGAAATCTTTATTAGATCAACATATTTGTGTATATCATCTGTGAAATACAATACAAAAAGATTATTGTTTTGATAAGCATATCATTATCCTTATATTATGCGTATCTATTTTTACTAACTTAATTAAGTTAAAATATTGCACGAAACTTACTTTATAACGCATCATAGTAGCCATATTTTAATGAGAATACAAGATATAATTGTATATTTGTAAAAAAATAACAACTATTTATGAGATTGATATATATATATATATATATATGAGAGTATTCAAAAAGATATATATAGATAGATGTATGCTTGATGTTGATTTGAAAATTAAATCACTATCGAGAAAATGTGCACATCGTCAATCGTCACGTCGAAACGGAACGATGACGATGAAAAAGAAAAGAATAAGATCAAATAGACGACAAATAGAAAGAACAACGTCGACGACAAAGACTAACATCAGAAAGCCATGTAGATATTTCTCTCACTTGTTCTATCTTTCATCCGTCATAATTTTCAGGCAAACCATCTACATTTCATCTCTGGTATGCATTATGTTGTCACTATTTTCTCCCTTCTTATTCCTTCTTTCTTAGACGCTTCGTCGTTCGCTGTATTAGAATCCCAACTGGAGTCAATTTTTTCTTCTTTCTTCTGTTTTTTCTATTACAGAGACATCCAGATTGAGACTGGTGGTTCTCAGTTTCTCAGTTGTGTGCTATATTTATGATAAAGGGGGAACGAGAAGAAAGAGTGAGAAAGAACAAGCAAGATATAACATTGCTATACAAATAGAACTAGTAGTACGTCATAGAAGAATATGGTTAATAATAAAATAAATGGTTGGCTTGTTTTTACTTGACTATTATTCAACTCGTAGATGTTGACGATTCTTAGTTATAATGAACGAAGAGAAAAAAAGAGGAAGAGGATCAAAACAAGACAGCTTATTAGAATTGACGTATCAAAAAAGAAATGTTTTTCTTTAGCTAGCTTTCTTTGTTATAAATTGGCAAATAAAAAGTGAAAAGATTTTCTAAATCGTTTTTTTTTTCTGCACCAGATGTTATTTGATCAATGAGCTTACATTTGATACACATCCGCACCGTCTTGTTCAAATGCATCCTTGAATTTCCTATTCTGTTTATTCAAGTGTTTAAATACAAGTAAAGATAAGAATATGAGTCAAGAAAAAAGAAATTGCTTGTAATAATTGGTATTGTTTATTTCAGAAGTTTAGTTTAAGTGCCATTCTATCTTTCTTCTTTAAATAGACTCTAGCGAAGTAAATGTACGGTAAAAGGAAAAAGTAAATATGTAAAAATAGAAAGTAGAAAAAAAAAGCGGAATTAATTGCTTATTTACTATTTGTAATGCCGATGTTGTTCGTATATTCTATACTAAAAAAATAGGTACGGGTACGGTGAAAGTCAAATATAGAGTTTTAGATAATTAGTTTCGAGGGAAAAAAAGAATAATTCAACTATGGCGCGTTTACCTATGATATTCTATTACCTGTGTATATTGTTTTGTTCGATAGTGACGAAAATGATGCATGATACAAAGCATCGTTGTATTTTCTCAAAACTTTTCTCGTATAATTTAAAAAAAAGAATTTTTATTTAATATTCACCTATATACATAGAGTTTTACTCGTCTCGCTTTTTCTTATTTAATGATAAGTTATGTATATGAATCATGCATTTTCAAAGAAGCAAAATGAAATTCTTTCCTTTTTTTTCTAACAACAAAATAGTAATTACTTTCTAATTTCATTTACTTACCGACATTGCACACATGCCTCTTAGAAAATTACGCGCCCAACCACCCATTATTTTCGTAAACTTATTATATGACTGAATAAAATATATATATATGTACTTGTATAACAAGTGTGATAAAAAAAATAAATTTTATATATATACTACTATTTAATGTCACTTTATATTATCTTTTTATTTTACTTCAATTTACTTTTCTAGATTGCTAAAACTATATTGTTCTCATTTATTTTATTTTTGGAAGCATTCAATGTCATATCCGGAATAATATGTTCATTTGAATAAAGTAAATAGATCAGTTAGCACAAAAAGATTCTATTCAGATAGTTATTTAAAAACTTACCATTTCTTTTTTTGTTCAATCATCTACAAAACTTATTTTTTACGTTTATTGAACAAATAACAATAACTACCAAACAACACTCGTTTTTTTCTTCTTACAAATGCCTAACATGATCGTTCTTTTACTATTCAAAAAAAAAAAAGAAATTATTCACTTAAAAATACTAAGTAGTAAAAAGTGCTTATAGCACAATGAAACTGATTTGAACAGAAGTTTAAACGAGTCCGAGAAAATTACTTTGACACGGATACTATTGTTCTATATAATACAATCCTTGAAATAGTGATTGAATTCGAACTAGTTGTAAAATTTAGTTTAAATTCAACGTTACAATTTAACAGGGTTCATCGGTTTTTTTTTTGTTCTGCAGTTTACTTGGTAACATATGGTAAGAATAAGATACATATTATAAAACACTAATGATATTCATGAGACAATGGATGTAAAATTCAAACTTTTGACTTTGTTAAACTGTAGAACAAAGTCATTTTGAAAATTAATTATACTCGTTAGTACTTAAAATACTGCAGAAATGAGAAAAATATCGACACATTCAAATTAAAAACATCTTCATAGCATACTTAAATGTTATTATTAAACCAATAAACGAGAATGTGTGCTGTCTAACAAAATATAAATCACAAAATGCGGTAACTATTACCGGAATTGGTACTTTGTTCTTGAATAAAAAAAGTTAAAACTAACTAATATCTCAAATCAAACTTATTGTTATGCTTTATATTTTACGTTGCTACAGAAAAGAGCTGAAAGTTTCAGTAAAATATTATAGATGGCATGTATAATAGTTTAAAAATCCTTCATTTCTTATATTATAATTGTAACTGTTGCTATTATCAATATATATTATTTTAGTTTTGAAATAATTATATAATCTTTACTATCAGAAGATTATATGTTTCTAACTAATGGTATGTATCTTTTACAATTATTGCCGAAAGAAAAAAACTAAACCCACTAGTTTTTCTACAATATGTCTATTTATTTTTCATCAATTTTCAGCTATTTTAGTAATAAGGATGTATAATTGTGATAAATTACGCATTAACACCTTACTCAATATTTCACTGACAGTATAAGTAATTTAATACTAAAGTTAACTAGCTATAGATAACAAATCTGCTATCTTATGTGTCTTCTGTGTTTTTCTTCAAATTTACTAACAAAAAATAATGAAATGAACGTAATTAATCATTTATAATAATAATTGCAATTTGACAAAAATGTAAAACACATTTTTGTAATTTTTATTGCTAATTATATTTAAAAGTATTATATGTGCATCTTTTGAAAGAATCAATATCTCCGTATCATTCATTTAGACTTAGTTGATAAAAAATTAAAATTCATACTAAGAAGCATTTAAACAATAAAATCATGTATTTTATCTAATAGGATAATTTGAATCTGTATTAATTTTTATACGTCTTTAAAAAGTGATTATCTGAAAATAATTTCTTTCGATCTATCTTAATTTAGTTGTAATATAGATTTGACTTACTTCAAGCTGAGAATTTGTCATTATTCTCAATCGTTCTATTCATTGATTAATGCTGTTTCTATCGTGAAAAAAAAACGTCTCCTTTGAGAAAGTCAATCAATTTATTAGTTATTATGTACCTGTACTAAATCAACATTTCTTTTCGTCTGTTTTCTTTCGTCTCATTAGACACATTTCTTTTCCATCAACTACCCGAGCACTTAAATCTGGTATAAATTAATTATTTTGGATTGTTTTCTTTCTATTTTTCTCAGATGGTCGTCGCTTGATATATCAAGGCCTCGAATATCATATTTTTCTAATCCAACCAAGACGATTGCTACCATTACAGTATTTATAGACGCATTAAATACAAAATCTAAATTAAGATTTCTAATTATATTTTAATTTATCTCGATTTATACAAAAAAATATCTCTCTTATTTCCATATCAGATGAGTTTCGAATGATAAAATCATAGAATAAAAAAGAAAATCTTGATAACATACAACGTATGGATCTTACTTTTTTCTTTACTGACATAATTTCTATTTGATTGTTTCCAGTAAATCATCATATCGGAAGAAAAAAAAATTTCCTTAAAAAAAATAACTAATGTAGACTGATTAGTTTTTTTTTGCTATAAGACAAACTTTCATTAATAACATCTGAGTGAGATATTTTGGCATGCTTTGCGTGTTATCTTAATGCTCTTTAAAGACAACAAGCGAAACAGAATATTGATGTAGGCAATGTTCGTCCTTCCTATACTTAACAGCTGTCTTCGTCAACATCAATCATTATGATGGAGATAAATAGTACAGACATTTGTCTATAGAAAAGCCTTCAATTGAAACTACGACCTACAAATCTTGTCATCTTTAATATTAATCATAAGAATTATGAAAATATTTTTCTTTTCAGAATTAATGATCGTTTTTTGAATCAGTTGTAGACAACTAATAAATACATCAATTACCAATGTATTGACAGATATAAATTAACACATTTTATTAGTTGATAGAAAGATGATGACAACATTTTATTAAATTATTTATCTTTGTCATTTATTATTAATAAAAGATCCAATTTATTATTGAACTTTTTATTATTTGTTTATAATGTTTAAAACAAAACAGAGTTTGAACTAAAAAAAAACGTCTACTCTTTATTATTATCATACATATTCATTTATTATTAAGAGATGTTTACTGTAAAAGAAAAATCCCTGAAAGCCTAATCATCTCATCCGCTGCTCTACTTAATCTATTTGTGACACTCATATACACATAAACATAGAAAAGACCAAGGAACATTGGTTGCGTTCTGCATTGCATATATATATATATATAAAACAAAAAAGGAACTTTAATTATGGAACAAAGAATGTATTGTTATAACATTTTATCTACTTCTAATAAACATCTGTTAATTTTGCTACTACACTGTTGAAAAACAATGTGATTTGATTATTCATTCTAACTCTTAAACTCACTTATATTTTATTTTTATATATAATTAATTCCATATTTCGAATATTCATGAATATGATAATTACATATCAATGAATATAAACAATAGTTATTAATGCACTCTAATCGAACATTTGTCATAATAGTCTGTAAATTATATAAATAAATCATTCTCTTTAAAGAGTATTAAAACTAATTATTTTGATAAAACATCACCAAAATGATAATTTTTTAATCGAAATACATCACTTACCGGAAGTGCAGTTCGATACATTTTTAGAACGTTAAATTAACCAACTCATATACAAGTCCGAGATCTTATAAGAGAAAAAAAGAGATGCAAAACAAAATCCCATTTTCTGCTAGATGCCTTCATTGAACATGAAATTAGTGTAGACAACTGTAAACACGCACACAAGAGACTTTAATAAGCTATACAAAAAGAAACTTGGAGCTTAAGAACAAGCACGCAAATTATTAACTTAAACTAGAAAGGAACTAAACTATCAGTTTCTATATATTTTTTAGTCAAATAATTACCTGTCCACCCATAGAATTATTATTTTCTTTCAACATTTTGTCGTTGTTAATTGAATATTATTTTCGATGTAGAAAAAAAAATTAAAATTAAATCGTCGTCAATAAGAATTTCGAGGAAGTTCGGAGAAACAATAAATACCAAGAACTATTGTATTATATGAGAGAAAAGTGAAGCATGTAATGTTAATCAGTTCATCATCGTCTTATTATTCGTCGTCGTTGTTGTTATTGCCGTTTCTGTCAATCGGGAGAAAAGTACAATTGGTCTTAACAAACTATTTACATTATCAACACCATAGCCAAACTCAACAACAACAAGTAACAGAGAAAAAGAAGAAATGACACTCGCTCGAAGAAAATTGATATCATCATGGCCCCAACCAAACGTTCGTCTATAGTTTTGTGTTAAGATAGGGGGAGAGAGAGAGAGACAGAGAGACGAGACGAGAGAAAAACCACTAGTTGTAATGTCCTAGCAGAATATATGAACAAATAACTAGAGATAGCGGATGAGACTTTTTTTCCATCGGGAACTATAAGAGTAGGAACGAGTTTTTCCTCTTCTTTCCCTTATTTCTTTGTTCTATTATCGACGGCGACAACGAATAGCGATGATTATCATCGGACGAAAGACCCCCATCATCACAGTCACGTACATAAAAAAACGAGATGTCTCGTTCTTTATTTGTTAGGCTGACAAATTCTTCTTCTTCTTATTTTCCTAGAACTATCTACGTGTTTCTATTTATCCTTAGTCTCTACTATTTTGCTCTATACACATTGTGTTTTCTTTTCCATATTCACATGCTTTATAAAGTCATATACACGTACAACTATTGATTATATTTTGTAATTGAATCGTGATCTATTTCATCAGAATAAGTAATAATAATAATAACAACAAAAACAACTACAAAAGAAAAAAAACTTTAAGTGTCACCAGGGAAATCAGTGATAATCAATCATATGAAGTTAGCGGGTATAGATATGTAAGAATAAAAACCAAAAGAAAAAGAAAGAACAGAGACTTTTCAAAGTGAAACACATAAACTGTGCATGCAAACACGTTCATTAAATATCAACAATGACATAGACATCATGTGTTGACGCTTCTTCATGTATTTGCATATTTGAATAAGTAATCGCTTTGACTTCAGTTCCTTGTGTATGTCGTGATAGATCAAATGTTTCACCATAACCACGAGCAATAATACGTAATTCATTACGATCAAACAAAATAATTTCAATTTTTCGTGCAACAAAATAATCTTCAGTACCATAAATTTCAAGCCATTCAGATAAAAATTTATATAATAAATTTTGTAAATCACCTTCAGCTCGAATATCAATTTGTTTCATATCACGATTTTCAATACCTTCAATATCAGTCATATATCCAAACATACCCATAACTACCTAAAAAAAAATTGAAATATATTTCATTTTGATAGTTGATCTTTTGAATGAAAAAGAAATAAGATTTCTTTAATATTAAGCTTATTAGTAAGATTGAAAGATTAAACTTCTGACAGATAAAACTTTTCTTAACATGAAAATTCGATTATAGATGAATTGTAAATAATCCAATAAAGTATTTTCTGATCAGCATTTCCTTTCATGCTAGATAGAAGAATTTCTTTTATTTACACTGTTCGAACTAATAAATACTCGTACGAGATAGACTATTTTAATACGGAAATGAGATATAGAGATGCACGGAAGTGAGAATCCTTGAAAAATATTTTTCATAAAAACAAAATAAAATCGTAAACTTTGTTTCTTACTATTAATAATAATACATTTTATTATGAATATATAATATGATTTTAAACTATTATTCATAATCAAAATATTTGATATTATTCTTTTTCTCTTCTATCACATATTTGACATATCATAGTTCAAAACAAACTCTTGACTTAATATGCTATAAATTCAATTCAATCAAGTAATGTTGCTGTTTTTTTATACAGATTGATAATTTTAAAAATTATATCTTATAAAACTAAAGTAGAAATTCTTTATTTATATATTCTAATATAAAAAGGAATACATAAACTATAGGTATGAGATAATGGACATTATGAGAAACATGTATAATTTCTAGGTTTTTAAAAATACAATAGGGGTATGTGCAATGTTTTAGATCACATAGATAATTCATCACAGGCTAAATATTTCATTAACTAACTTGTTCAAATGATTCTTCGAGGGAATCACCCCATGCATGAATTTGTACATCAGCTGTATTATCAAGAAACTCATATTTAATATCGGGATAATCAAATTTAACATCTTCATTTGATGATGATGGACCATTTTCTTCTTCATCTTGATTAGATTTTATATTTGATTCTTTGTTTTTATTCTGAGTATCTTTTGACATTTTGTATTTTTTAATGTCGTTCAAATGTTGGATTTAATTCAGTTTGTTTTTCAGCAAGACGTTGTTGTTCAATAAGTTCAGCTTGATTTTGTCGTATAGTAAGTGCTGTTTCAAGACGATCTTTACCACGTCGACGAATATCTGGTAAATATTCGGTTTTAGCTTTATATAATTGATGACAAACAGCAGCAAATGCAAGACCAGTAAGACCAATTAAAATTGTCGCTGTTATTCGATGTGCTCGATCGTAAATAGCAGTACGATTTTGTATTCGAAATAGACGGGCTAACATTTGAAATAACAATTTTGAAACATACGAAACTCTTCCAGAGATTATTGTTTTATTATTCTACATCTATCCTATGGTAAAACTTGGATAGAATGGATTTTTTTATGACATTTATTTATAAGAATTTCTTATACAATAATTTATACATTATAATAAATATGAATAAAAATAAAAATGTAAATCATATAAAAAAATACATATATGTCTGTAGATGGTAGGAGTGTTTTTATGATTCATCGAACGGGGGTGGTTGATTAACTGAATCATTTTATGAATTGATTCAGTATAATACAAAAATCATTTTCAAAGATGACGACTACTCCATTACACGAAATGTCACAGGTAAGGTCGACACGGATTCTTTTCTCTCACCTTTTCAAATTTACCTTTATATTTCTCTAGTTAAATTCTAAACTTGATGAATTAGCTCGATTAACAGAATCTGAATATGAAACTAGTAAAACGGTGATTCTTTTTCAATATTTTGATAAAATATATACATTATGTTATGGTACACCTAATTTTCAAACATTAATTGATACATTAATTCAAAGAGAATATGCAAGTAAGTATTAAAATAATTATTTTACTATAAAAGCATGTCATTTTCTTAGAATTTTGTGCTGCAATATTTAAACGTATATATATGGATGTATTTAAAAGTCAAGATCGTTGGCATATTACTTATTATTTAGTCCATTCATTATGGAATTATACAGATAAAACGAATGCAATGTGTACCGTATGTATCGAAAAGAATTTAGTATTTAACAAAAATTATTTTTATTATCTTTTGTAGGCAATTGTTAATGCACAACTTATTCCGATGTTTACTTATAATCTCAATCATGATAATTATTTAAATAATTTCTCTGCTAATGATGTTTGTTGATAAAAAGATTGATATTATTTATATACATTTTTTTTTGTTTTATTTAGGCTATTAAAAAATTATTCGATATGATTGTTTCAATTTTACATAATATTGCACAAGTACCTGAATTAACTAGTGAATTAAGACGACATCAATGTTTAGAAGTACGTTCATAAGAGGAAAATAAAATATTAAAATTTTCATTTTGATTTTTTCATAGATTTTAAATAAATTAATTCAAAAAATTGGTTCACATAATATTTTTCTCAAAGGAATATCTTATTTAACACTTGCTTATATTATCCGAGAAGATGAACGTACCACCTATTTAACAAATTCTAATGGTATTTATATTGTAACTTGTCGTTTTTTTAACATAAATAATTGCTTTTTATTATTTAGAATCAATACCTTATCTCGTTGATCTTTTGAACAAAGCAGTAAATAGTCCAGATCGTCGATCAAATGGATTAGAAGCACGTGAATTATGTAAAGGTCTATCGAAATTATCTGTTGCAAATGATAATAAATATAAAGTATGATAAAAAAACTTTAGAAATTTTATTTCTATTATTGTCTTTTTGTTTTAGATTTATATTGAATCAAAACTACTTGATAGTTTATTAAATATGCTTGAACAACATTCCAATAGTCAAGAACAAATCTCTGCTTGTACACTTATTTGGAATTTAGCATTCGATCAAAATGTTCGAAAAATTTATAGTGAACATAAACAATTAAATCAAATTTTAACAACTATTGCACAAACATCATCAAATGATGAATTAAGACGATCAGCATCAGGATGTTTATGTACATTAATGGGAGGACCAAAACCTCCAACAAAAACATCATCAGCACCACCAGAAAATAAAAGAGTTATGATTTCATATAATCACGATGTTAAACATTTATCAAAACAAATAAAAGATCATTTAGCTGCTGATGGATATGATGTTTGGAGTATGAGATAAAAATAATTTTAAAGAAAAATTAATTTTTCTTTTCCTATTTAGTTGATCTTGAAAGAATGCATGGAAATTTATTGGATTCAATGTCGGATGCTATTGAAACTTCATCGATTCTTCTTATATGTTTAACTGAAAAATACAAAGATTCACCAAGTTGTCGATTAGGTATTAATATTTATTTATTCTTACAAAAAAATAGAAGTTCTTTTCATAGAATGTGAATATGCATATCAACAAAAAAAACATATCATTCCACTTCTTTTACAACCAAATTATAAACCTGAGTGAGTCATATTTAATAATATATTTTTAAATAATAAATTAAAATTTTTAAAGTGGTTGGCTTGGTATTATTGTTGGTAGTAAAATATACATAAATTATGCAAAAAAATCATTTGATGCAGCTTATTCGGAAACACTTGGCGAGCTTCAAGCACTTCAAAATCGAGTAAATACAAAATCAACAATATCGCCACCGAAAAAACGTATGTTTTTACGTTAAGATTTTCCTTTTTTGCATTAAAAATATTCTTTAGTTGCTCCTCCACCGGAACCACCTCGTCCATTATCAACAGCAACAATAGCAGCAGCAGCAAATGAAACAATTACGACGAGAGCTACTCCTCCTCCTAATGCTATTGTTCATTTGATGTCACAATTTCGAATGGATAATGTATCTACACCAATGCCAGTCACATCGACAACTTTAGAAAAAATGACACCTAAAGAAACACACAATTTTTTGATTGAAAATGGATTAGAAAAGTAAGGTTTCTCAAATTGAAAAATTATTCGATATTTATTTTTTTTTATTTTTATTAGTTTTCTACCAATGTTTATCGATATGGACGGTATTAAATTAATGAAATTATTCGAAATTAAAAATAAAGTAAAATAAAATATATTTTCATATTTTTGTTTTATTTTAAATATTTCATTAGGCACCACAATTTTATTATATGCTTATTAAAGACAAATGGGATCAAATGAATCAAGAAGCCAAAGATCAAAGGTATCTAGAAAATTATTTTTTAAACTTTTGTTTAATTTTCTTCTTTAAGTTATAGTCGAAAATTACCAACATCAATGGCTCAATTTCTTCAATTAACTGTTATTCTAGATAAATTAGCTGACCGATTTTCATCGAAATAATTAATTTTTTAGTCAAAACAAAACTTATCTCAGATATTTCATCTCAAAGACTATCATTTGACTTGGTTTAGTTTCTTTTTCTACTTATTATTATTATTTATACGAGTATGCCATTTTTTTTGTATTTTAATCTAGATGATTGTGTAATATTATGAGATTTGAACGAATGATTAACATTATATATATATTTACTGATGTTGTGCGTACGAAAATAAAAGATTTCAAAAGATTTCAATTTTTCACTTACAAATGGGACGAACTAATTTCTTTGATAAATAAAAAGAAAATTAATTTTATTTTATAAACCATCTTGAATAAATAAAATGAACTATATTCCACAAGAGAAAAAAAAATACATACAAACATATAGAATCAAAAACAAAGAACAACAGGGAAAAAAATATATTAATAAATCTACATTTACAGACAATATGAACGTTAAATATATTAATATATATATACATATGATAATAGATAGAATAAAATCACCGCATAATCATTTCACCAATATAATTTCTTTTGCATTTATGATTTAATATCTTCAAGTTCACCTTCATCTGAATTAACTGTTTCTAAAATACTTACTGTACGTGATAAATATCGTTCACTTGATGATCGTGTTGCTGCATGATTTCCTGACTCACTCTGTATACGTTTTCGCATTCGTGCTGATACTAATGATGTTTGTCGAGATAATTGTGATGCATTTCGTTTTGGATAGTATAATTTTGCATCAGATACCATGCGAACAAACATTGGACGTGGACGTTTATCTCTTAATAAATTTGATATTGGTTTTTCAAATGTAACACGATGATGTGGTGTCATTGTTGTTATCGTATTCGACTAAATATATATGAATAATTCATTTGCTTTTTTTTTCATTTCTAATTTCATATATTTACTCGAACTTTAGTAATTGGATAATATATTGTTTCTGTTAATGATGGTTCTGGATTTATAACTTCTTCTGATACAGTTATATCTTGATCAAGATTTGTAATAGAAGCTTGTTTAATAGCTGATTCAAGAGAATCAACTGATGCTGATTGTCGTCCATTACGTTGAGCACGATGTTCAGCAATAACACTATCAGCATGTTCTTGTATAATATGAAATGCTACATGCATATCATCATCAGTTGCATGTTTCGCACAAACAGCAAAACGTATTATATATAAATCATTCACCATTGATGGAACCATATGTATACGGCCCGAATCATTTAAAGATAAAAGTAATTTTTGACTTAATTTATTACTACCCTAGGATTAAAATAAATTCATAATAGAGAATAATTAAATACAAAAGTATATTTTCAAATACTTTTAAACGAAAACAAACAAGACCTAATGTAACATCACCAATAATATCAAAACGACAATCTGTACTAATCAATAATTCAAATACTTTTGCTAAACGACAATGCTAAATCAGAGAAAATTTATGTTAAAATTCAAGATGAATGTTTTTTTCTATACTTCTCGAATATAATGACGAAGACCTTCGATACCATAACTTCGAATTGTAAACCAAAGTTTTAGTGAACGAAATCGACGACTTAAAGCAACACCCCAATGCTACATAGATATGAAAGATAACATGAAAAATTAAATAAGAATTAATTGATTTACTCGATAATCAACTGCTTGTTGAGCATGTTTATGTTGAAGATAAAGTGGATCAACAGACATTGCATTAATCAATGCAAATTTATCTCGAACCCTATAATTAAATATTGTCTTCTACTCTAACAATCTTTTTTTATAATGTTTTACCAAAAACATGAACAATCAAAATTCATTAATAACCATTTATTTGGATTTGTATTGAATGAATCCGCATACTTAAGATATGTAAAGTACTGAAAAAAAGATTTTTATTAAAATTAAATCTTACTTCTAATCCTTTCATTATATATCGAAATTCTTCACAAATAAAAGCACTACCAGCATAGGCACCATCAACGTGGAACCATAATTGTTCACGTTGACATATTTCACCAATTTCTTTAAGATTATCATATGAACAACATGATGTTGTACCTAATGTACCTGATACCTAAAAATAAAAATTTATTTTTAAAACTATGTAAAAACAAACTATTTAACAAACCAAAAATGGAATTAATCCTTTTTCTTTATCAGCTCGAATACATTCTTCAAGTGTTTTACCACGTAATGAAAAATGTTCATCAACAGCTAATTGACGAACACGAACCATTGCAATTAATCCAGCTTTTTCTACACATGAATGTGCCTTAAAATAAATAATTCCTTGTATAAAAAACAAATAGTTAAATACTTTTGCTGAAAATTTACCAGTTTTGATGTATAACAAACAAGTCTCGCTAAAATTTGTCCATCTTCAATTAATGGATCAGTTAGACGTTTACTGGTAATTTTCTTTGTTCGAGCAGCTAACATTGCAACAAGAATACATTCACTTGCTGAGCCCTATGAAATGAAATAGAAAAATAAACGTTTTTTTCTTTTAAATTAAATATCCGAAAATTCACTTACAAGAATAACACCACCACCAATATGTTCAGCTTGTTTTTGTTCATCATCATTTTTGACTGAATTAAGTAAATGATCTTCATTTATGTCATCATCTTCATCAGTTTGAGAAGAAGATTCATTATCACTTTCTTCATAATCATGATTTGGATCAAATGGAAGAAAAGCAACTGGTAAATCGATCATACGACCTAATTAAATATTTAATTAGAATATTAAAACTTATTGAATGTTTTCTTCTTACCAATCCAATCTAACATGATTGTTTCCAATTCTGTACATGCTGGACTAGCTGCCCATGAAAAACCAACAATACCAAGACCAGAAGACAACATTTCACCAAGGATCGATGGATAACTATTTCCAGCAGGAAAATAGGCATGAAAACGTGGATGTTGCCAATGTGTTATACCAGGCATAATAGCTTGTTCAACATCTTGCATTATATTTTCCCATTTTTCACTTTTTTCTGGTGCATTTTTCGGTAACATTGGTCGTAAATAACCAGGTTCAACTTCAGGTGTCACACGACGATCACTATTAGTTAATTAAAATAGATATATTTTTTAAATCTTTTCTTTTATCTACCTTATATGAAGTAGATAATCAGCAATATAATCAATCATTTCTTTTCCACGACGACGAAATTCTTCATCATCCATTCCTGGTATAGATGATGTTGGTTCAGGATTTTTCGTTCGTTCTTCATCAACAACACTATAAATAAGAATAAAATCATCATTTCATACGGGAAGAAAGACAATGTTTTTCATAAAAATATTCTTACTGTTGTTGTTGTTGTTTAGGTATTTTAATTGATGTTGTTTTTTGTTGTATATAAGATGGAAAAGTTTGTGGTGAACATTGATTGTCATTTGTTTTAATTGATATTTGACGAGAAATACGTGAAGTATTATGACGTCGTTCATTCTGATGTGTGGTAGTTGCTGATGTTGCTGATGATGGTATTAATCGATCAAAAAATGTTGATATCGGAAGTGATGTACCAATTTCATTTGCAGAAGGTACATTTGATGAAGATGATGTTGAATTATTTGTATGAAAGAAATTAGTTAGTTTATGGTATAATGTTCCTAAACCTTTATCCATGTTTCTATTTCTAACGGTGTTCAATCAATGATTATTGGATCTTTTCAATGATGTCTCTTCTCTTTTCTCTTCGTTGTTCTGAAAACATCCTGACTAGCAATAACCTTCTCTAATTTTTTTTCTCCAATTCTTTTCTCTATTGTATGCTTTGCATATGCACTTGAACACTTTTTTTTTATTCTTATCAGCATAATAAAATGATGGTATATTGGCATTATATTATAGAAATAAAACAACATAGAGAACAAAATCGATTAAAATTCATGTCAATTTTCTTTTCTCTTTTCCCTGACAAAATCCGATAAATACAAAAGAAAATTTCTGATATATAATAATACAACATTGAATGATGATTTACGATCGTAATTGACGTAAAAAGAAGAAGAAGAAATGACACTTGCTCATCGTTGTTATTAACACAAAAAATCAAAGCAATAAGCTTAGTTTTTCTTTTCTTTTTTTTATGAATTTAGTGCTCCGGTAAACGTTGTAGTACCGAGTAAATAGACAATCTCAATGGAATACACATGATGAATAATATTAGACCGGAAGACTTCCTTTATTTGTCCAATAATTTTTACACCCACCATAGATTATAAATTTCTGAAACGAACAACTTCCTGAATATGTGTTGTCTAATACGGAAATAACTTGTTCAATCGATTAAAAAGTGCTGTAAAGAAAAAAAAAGAAATATGAATACGAATAAAATCGTTGTTTTTATCAATGCTTATTTCGTTGATGAATAATATAAATTAAATGAATGATATTGAAAAAAATAGATATTAGTCATTAGTATGACGTAATCAAAATATTAGATGCACTTAAATCGATATTTTATATGTGATGAAGAAACGTGCTTACAAAGAAAAACTGACTTTTCTCTTGAATATTTGAAATGAATTTTTGATGAAATAAATAATTGCATGTTATTTATTTAAAAATAAAGAACGAAAGAATAATAATTATACTTGATGTCATTATGTGATGTAATAGAAGATAATTCAGCCTTCTATTCATACGGAAAACAATATTCGCCATAGAATGGTATGATTTAAAACGAAAATAAAGATGGTGTTAGTAACATATTCTATGACTAACTGATTTCTATTTGTTTTTCTTTATTAATCGTTAAATTCATTATGGATTTATTATTCAGAGAAATACGTGATTTTAACCTTGGTGAAATTCGTCACGAATTTGACTATATGTTTCTCTTCATACATACGTTAATCGCGTATGAATTTAAGGTTTCGGTAATAAGAGAACTTTCTTTGAAACTGTACGTAAATTATTTTTTGATTTCTTATATTTCAAAGATGCCGTTAGATATTATTCAATCAGCTCAAGTTTCTAAACACCAATATCGTGTTGACTACGATGCTAAAAACTGTATAATTGAATTAATTGTTACCAATGAGGGAAACAAGATTAAAATCAAAATATATGTGAGCAAATCTTTCTGACGTCTAAGTGATATTTTTATTTCAACTTTTAGAATCATAATAAAAACTTACCTAAAGAGTTGCTACTACACATCAACTCGTTTGTGAAAACAGTTGAGCCAAACACTTATTAGTAAAATATTTTTTAATAATGTTTTTTTTGTATTTTTTGTTTGTAGGTTAAACAATTTATCAGAACAAAGCGATAAAATATTTGAATTGATCATTGATGAAATGAAAATGCGTGAAGTTTAACAACAACAATAGGTGCAATCAATTCTAGAGTGTACACTATAGTCTACACTATATATTGTTTATTTTCATTTTATTGTTAAAAAATTGTCATTTTTTTCATGTTGTCTGTTTGTAAATTTCTTCTTGATAATGGTGAAAGTTTTTATCGAAAGTTTGAATAAAATAAGCCTTTGAATTTTGAAAAAACTCGATGTGTTTTATAGCAGTCATCTACTCTTTTATTCCTTCATTTATCTTTACTGCTCTTCCTAATGGATTTATGATATTCGTACTACATCTTATGATAGATAATAATAGAACACAATATACTTGTTTCTTTTCTAAATAAAGTATCATTATGAATCATTATATAATTTCTAAGAAAATTATTCGTCTTTATCCTATGACAATTTAATAAGTAAAAATATTCTTTCAGCTATTCAAAAATGACTGCGTTATTGTTCTTCTTGACGGTATCAGTCAAACAGGCTCAATGAACATATTCTCTTAACTTTGTGTTGATTGGTCGATTATGTTGATCGTATATAAACATTGACTTTTCTCAGATGCAACAAACAGAGAAACGAAGATAAATATGGAATGTTCATATGTTCAATTAGATGATTTACCCGATGAAATTCTTTTGATTATTTTTAAAAAACTTGACAATTTTGATATACTTCATTCTTTTCATGGTGTTACAAATAGACGATTGAATAGAATAATACATGATCCATTATTTACAAGCAATATAAACTTTGTTACATGGTCATCTGATAAATTTCTTAATAAACTTTCTTCAAATGTTATACTTAATCGATTTTGTTTACAAATTTTACCTGATATTTCTGTAAAAATCAAATTACTTCATCTTGAATCATCATTAGCAAAAAATATTTTACGTGCTGCAGATTATCCTAATCTATATGGACTTGGTCTATATAATACCAGCGGAAAGACAGCTAGACGTCTTTTTACTGGTAAGAAAATCAAAATGAAATTCTTTTAATTTTAAACAAAAATAGAAAATATCTTAAAATCGTTAATGCAACTGAATAGATTGTTGAATATAAGAAAGTACTTTTCTAGTTTCTGTTTCAATATAGGAATTCGCAAAAGAATGATATATAAAAATCTTTATGAAAGAAAGCAGTCTTACTAAATACAAACCTAGATTTAAACAAAAACAATTTCTCTTACTTTTAAGAAAGTTCTTTAGAGAAAAAAACCAGTTGAATACAGATACTATTTCGAAAAATAATTTGTTTCTATCAAAAATTATCTTAATTTATATATTTAGATAAAAGGTTTTCAACTGGTATTTTTAAAAAACAAATAACAAGACTCATTATAACAACTCCTAAAGATAAAAATTATTGGTTTACAATAGTAAAAATATGCAGTTGTATTTTTTCTATATTTAACAAATTAACACATTTAATATTTTCTGAATCATTGTATGAAAATTATGTTCCTTTATCATTTTATTTTCCATCTCGAAGTTTTTCATCTTCAAGTCTTTTGGTATTAAATATCAAAATTCAACATTTCTCACAGTTACTTTATGTTCTTGATGGTCGTTTTAGTCAACTTCATACACTCACTGTTGATTTGATTAATAATT